GGACCTCTGGAAAACCCAGAGAATACGGTCCAGCTCAAGCCTGGACCAAAACAAGAATCCTCTGCCTACCTGTGTCCAGCCCCTCCTCCTCGTGCTGCTCCAGCCCTTGAAACCAAGTTGGGAAAGAGGGCCAAACAGAGAAATGGGAGCTGTCCCCAGTCTGTGACTGACACCTCGTCTTCCAGATCTCCAACTCCTGGGCTCAAATTCTCATTCTTGAAGGGGCAGAGGCAAAGCCCCGCACCCGCCGAGAAAGCCTTGCTCCAGCATGACGGGCCCTGGAAGGTCTTGTTTTCATTCTATTCTCCAAAACCCAACCGAGCCAAGGGCTTGGGGAAAGGTAAGGTGTCCACTTGCTCAGCTGGAGCAGGAAACCATTCTCCGGATGGGATCAGGCGGTCAGGAATAGAGACCCTCCTGGGCTGGCTCAGTCTCAGGAGTTTAGAGCACGGGGTGGCATCACAAGAAGCTTGAAGTCTTTTGGGTCTGGAACTGAGCAAGGTACTATTAACTGTCCCATGATGGCCTGAGTCCACACCCCAGGTTCACCACTCACTGGCTGGGTGACTTTGGTCAAGGACTTAACTTCTCCAAGTCCAGGTCTCCCTCTCTGAGCAATGGGGATCTCACCTGCCTCAGAGTTGTTTCCAGGTTCAAAGAGACACCAGAAGTAAGGAACTTACCACAACGGCTGGCATGTAGTAGCAGATCAATAGTTGTAAGCTATTATTTTGAGTCAGAAGGTAAAAGATTTTCCCCAGGAAAATCCATCTTTTGCTCAACACCCTTTTCTTTGTTGCTTTTCCCAGCTGGAACAACTCAGACCAAAACATCTGGCCCGGCTGCTGACTCAGGCCCACTGACTGGAGAAAAGGCTGGTTTCCCAGAAGCTTCTGCAGACCCCCCAGGAAGAGGCCCCACTCTGGATGAGGGGCTGCCAAGGCCTGAGCCCAGGATTGGGGCACTGAGTGTGGAGATTGTCCACTCCAGGATAGCGTGCCTGCCAGGTCCTGGGGATGATAGGGGCCGGTGGAGGTGGAAGGAAGAGAGCTGGGGGTGGGCAGTTCCCTGAGCATCGTCAGATGCTGGTGGTTGTGGGGGAAGACAGGGAATGTTCTGGAAGCCTGTGTTCTAGACTGAGCCTCCCTGGGACTCAGGTTTATCGTCTTCCCAATGAAGGAGTTGGATTATATGAAAGCAATGTCTAGGATCCCATCCAAACATCCATCCATCCAAACAGCCATCCTTCCAAACATCCATCNTATATATATAGAGAGAGAGAGAGAGAGAGAGAGAGAGAGAGAGAAAGAGAGAGAGATGATAGATAGATAGATAAATAGATATAGATATGGGGGTGCCAAAAAAATGTATACACATTTTAAGCGATGCTATCTATGTATTACTTTTCAAAGTTGAATTGAATTCCGGTAGCAATGTGTAGTATGATGTTCGCTCAAAAGATGGTGCAAGTGTCACCATGCGACAGGTAGGATGGTCAAAGAAAATGGCGGTAGCAGAGTTGTCGTTCAAGGAGCACAAGACCATTTTGAAGTGATATTTGAAATTCGAGAACGTTGTGGAAGTACAATGATAATGGAGGTGTGAGCATGCAACAGAACCTCCAACACACCTAACAATTGCACGCATTCGTGATAAGTTTGAGACACATGGTACTATGAAGGAACTGCAACAGCATGTGCAGTGATACAAGTGGACACTTAGGTCAGCGTTGCTCAAGCAGTAGTTTGCCGTAATCAGAAGTGTCTGGACGCTGATGGTAGCCACTCAGCCCTTCTTGTAATTGCAGAAGTCAAACGTGACTTGTATTCATCTTCTGTTATCGATGTATGTTGAGTATTACAGTTTTAATACTCGAATTTTTTCCTTTCTTAAAATGTGTACACATCTTTTGGCACCCTCTGTATATCGATCATTGCACTTAATCCTCATACCAGCCCAATAATACCAATATGTACCATTATTCCTATTTGCAGATTGGAAAAATGAAGCTTGAAGAAGCTATTTGCACAAATTAGTGATTTAGACCTTGGAACCCATGTCTCCCTAAAGTGGAGGGCTCAGCCTTGAGCTGGGTAGAGAGGAGTTTTGGATAGATGGTGGGGAGAAGGGAGCTTGAGTCAGCAGGGTTATCTTCATGGGAAAGGCGCTTGCTAACCAGTGCCTGGCACTCAGAGTTTTTCTCCCTTGGGCCAATAGGCTAGCAAGTATTTTCAAGGCCAGGGCCAGGACCAGGGTAAGAGAAGAGGTACCAAAGGTGCAGCATTTCAGAGATGCTCACGTTCAGGGCTGTGCAACTTGCAAGACCCTGAGAGAGTGGGGCCTCCTCAGATGCTGCATCCTGCCCTCTCTCTTACCTCACCCAAGTCAGTGACCTGTTCAAGGTTACTTCTGGGAGAGGGAAGGAAGTAGACCCATGGGCGGGGCTCTCAGGGCCAGATTCTCTGACATCATCCCCTTCTCTCCGCAGGTCCCCTACTCACACTGCCTCTTCCTGCACGAGGGTTGGCCGCTGTGCCTGCGGGATGAGGTTGTGGTCCATCTAGCACCCCTCAATCCCCTCGTGTTACGCCAGGGTGACTTCTACCTTCAAGTTGAGCCCCAGGAGGAGCAGTCTGTCTGCATTGTG